GGTGGTGTACAATTGAGCTCAACCAATCTGATCAAAGGGGAAGAGCCTGCTGCATTAGGGATAAATATGGGGCCTTCCCCACATGCCTGCTTTCCAGAGTTTGGGCTGATGGCCTACCCTTCTGAAGAAGTAAATTTTGTGTTGCTGAGATAATTCTTTTAAAAAGGAGAAGAAGGAGGAGGAGGAGGAGAAGGCGCTTCATTTCAGTATCTCTAAGAAAAAAATAAATAATGGCAAAGAGCCATATTATTTAGCCACATGATCCTCATGTACCTGTGTAGGAAAGCTGAGTAAAACAAATAGCACAAAGCTCCTTCCTGTAAGTTCACACACAGGGGTTCGCGAGTCCCAGTCACTGGAAACAAAATGCCTTTTCCTTTCCATGTTTTAGGTACCCAGTGGTTCACAACTTTTCCATTTTTTTGCTATTTTATAGAACCACTATAGTAGAAAGCCAGCCAAGAGGCCCAGGGTAAGTGTAAATTGGTACCGCTTCTCTGTCAGGGTCATAAAAATGCAATCACAACCAAGATTGTCACTTGAGAAAAACATGACAATGATCTGCTCCCAGGTGCAAGAATTGTCTATCTAATGAACATATGAGAAGTTCCTGTCCCTAGTAGGTATGATTGAAAGAGCATGGTAAAACTCTTATCTCCATAATAGTTCAAAATATTTTTAACACAATGTGAGAAGCATCCATAGCATGGAAGAGATTAATTATTTGGTGGTGAGCAAACCAACTGTAACATCTTATTTTTCTAGCCCCATGCCATCTCAAATGCTCATTATTAGACAGATGCAGTCTATGTACCCCTTTCATATCACAAATAATCAAGAAAGGATTCAAGCCGTGAATAACCTCCAGAGAATGGTTGGATTTTTGTTTCTCATATAACGTTAATTTTATGTATTTTTACATTCATTCCTCAGGGGAAACAGATCTTACAAATTGCTTTGTAAGTCAGGAACAAACCATGAATATTGATCATCTGTATCACCTCTTGGGTTTTTCTTTTCATATCACTCACAATCATCTTGATTTTTAAAAATTATTCTTTCTGGTGTTATCAGACCTTCCTTCTAGGGCCATAATAATAGCTTGTACTACATATTTGTTTATTTTCAAAGAGTAGCAATTGATTTTTTTCCCCTAGATGAAAAGACCTTGCTTTAAACTGTCATGGTACTTATTTCAACTGAATCGCTATAAGTAAATTTATCAATATTTTATAGCATATACCGATTTAGGAATCAGATAAGAAAATTGTTTCATATCTTCTATTAAAAACACAGATATTACAATCTCACTCATAATCAAAGAGAGAAAGTTGCTGAAATTAATTTATTCATGGCCTGATATAATTTCAGAGTATCCTCTTCCAAAAGAAATAACCCATGTACCTTGAAAAAAAACTTGAATGCCACCTAGGATGTAGCTACTGTGTCAAAATAATAAATATATTTAAATGATAGAGTATATAATCTGATCTAGAAGGAAAAGAAGAATAGACCATGAATATTTTCAATCTTAAAGAAGTTCTATGAGGGAAAAGTGACAAGTTGTGGCAAGTATAAATAAAAAGAACATGGAGAAACTATGTTTTGTCAGAAAGATATTCTCCTCACACATCAATTACACCTGTGTGGATAGACCCATTCTGACAGATGAACCAATGCTTATTACTGGCAAGATGGCAGTCAAGAAGGAGGAGACAACAATGCTCGATAGGAAATGGACTCATTACCTTACTCATGTAACTGTAACCCCTCTGTACAGTATTTTTACAATAAAAATGCACAAAAAATCCCAAAATCAACAAGTTGATACAACCTGGAACACAGAAAAATCATTGGACCTATAAACTCAAATAAGTTTAGAGATGTTTTTAAATATGACATGTAAAAAAGAAAGATGATGTTGGCGTTTATGTTCTATAGACATTTTTTAAAAAGTAGCATCCATAATTGAATCTCATCAGAATTACAAAGTACTCAGTCTGAAGGTCTAATTTTAATGTAAAGAAAACTGGTACTTAAGCCGGGCACCAGAGGCTCATTCCTGTAATCCCAGCTACTCAGGAGGCTGAGGATCATGGTTCAAAGCCAGTCCAGGCAGGAAAATCTGTGAGACTCTTATCTCCAATAAACCACTCGAAAACTGAAGTAGCACTATGACTCAAGCAGTAGAGTGCTCGCCTTGAGCTGAAGAGTGCAGGGACAGTGCCCAGGCCCAAAGTTCAAGCCCCACAACTGACAAAAAAAAGAAAGAAAGAAAGAAAGAAAGAAAGAAAGAAAGAAAGACAGAAAGAAAGAAAGAAAGAAAGAAAGAAAGAAAGAAAGAAAGAAAGAAAGAAAGAAAGAAAGAAAGAAAGAAAGAAAGAAAGAAAGAAAGAAAGAAAGAAAGAAAGAAAGAAAGAAAGAAAGGAAGAAAGGAAGAAAGGAAGGAAGGAAGGAAGGAAGGAAGGAAGGAAGGAAGAAAGGAAGGAAGGAAGGAAGGAAGGAAGGAAGGAAGAAAGGAAGGAAAAGAAAAGAAAACTGGTACTTAAGGCTTACAGTCATGGGTGTAATTACCCTGCATAGAAGAGGAGCTAGGATGAATGGTTGTGAACAATAATCATTATTCATACCTATAGTTCTGATGCCACATTCAAACAAAGAGTTCAGCACAAATACTCTTCCTTACTCAGTCTCAAAAATCCCTGCACAAGCCAGGCACTGCTACCGCTCATGCCAGTAATCCTAACTACTCAAAAAGCTGAGAGCTGAATATTGTAGTTCGAGGCCAGCTCAGGCAGGAAAGTCTGTGAGATTATCTCCAATGACCCATCAGAAAACCAGAAATGGAGCCGTGGTAGAGCAGTAGCCTTGAGCAAAAAAGCTCAGGGAGAGCGACCAGGCCTTGAGTTGAAGCCTCATGACCAACAAAGTAATAAAAACAATAATAATAATATTGTTGTACATACAAAAGCAGAGTTTAAGTAAATACTATAAACCTAGGTTCTTTTCTCCATATAATTTCCAAATGCCCAGGCATACTCTTGAACGTCTCAGAGTCTGTTATAGAACATCTCTTATTACTCATTTCCTTTGATGATAGTTGTTCCTACTCCCAAATAGTTATTATAGCTTCTTCTTACTGAATCTGATGCATAGTGCTGAGTTCATTGTGCACAACCACGAATAGACTGATGTCAGCGAAGATGTACACCATTATATAGAAACTCAACACTAAAACTGACCTTGTGAAGAAGTTATCTTATTTAAAAAAAACTCAGCTTTGAAATCATTTAAATTACACTACTCTAGTTTAAATATTCCTTTAAAAAGAATTCAACATTTCCTAAGATTAAGTACTGTGTTATTACCAAATGTTGGCCTTTGGAAATTCTGTAGTTTCAATTTAATTCAGTAAACACAGTATAAACAGCTAAATTATTTTTAAAACTTGAAATATTTTAAAACAAAAAGTATTCACTATTGTGAGAAAAGCCATTTTAATCAAAATGTGTGATTCAGGCTCTTTATTTTACATAAGAGGAATATATTTCTCATGAAAATGAAGCATAAGAGTATAATGTATTTTACTTAATGGAACCATGACTACTCCTTTTTTCCCAGTTAAGGTACTTTATAAGTGAGTTAAAGTTGTGGCAATTTCTGCTAGGGTTCACTAGGCATTATTATTTCTTTGAATAATATAATTAAATGCTCACAAAATTAATACAGGGCAAAGCATATCAATCAAAGAGTTCTTTCTGTCTGAGATTAAAACTATATCTTATCCAACTCCAGTGCAACAGATACCACAGTGATTTTAGTGGTAAAGCAGTGACTCACTAATAAGAAATAATGATAATGTCTAGGTTTCTAGATAGCCATGCATCTCCAATTCCTCACAACCCATGTTAAAATGTCAGAATGACAGTCATATGTTGTACTTTTGAGAGACAAACATAAAAACTAGTCAGTGGGATCCAGATGAAATGAACTGATGTAATAACTTGTAAGTTTGTCAACAGAGTTTAATTGTTAAAGAAGCCTTGGAATTTATTACAACCAGAAAGGAACCAGACAACACACATACACACACACACACACACACACACACACACACACACACACACACACACACACACACACACATAAAGAGCTTTGCGAAACAAAATCTAATCAAAGCAATTTGTAATTGAAATCATAAGAAAATGTGTCAGAAAGACTTTTCTGACTTAAAGTACACATCTGCCTAAAGATGCAATGAACTTTCCACTGTTGGCCTTGGGATTCAGTTCTGTTTGTTATATAATTATTGTATCCTACTCAGGAAGGACAATTAGAAAAATTCCCTTGGTTGCAGCTGTATCTACTAAGCAACAAAAGTTGCTAGAAAAATCACACGTACAAATATATGTAAAGTTACGGGGGAAAAGCTGCTTTATTGCCTGATTTAAAATAAGCTCAATCAGTAGTAAAGAAAAATGCTATAATATTCAGCTTGATGAGCAGCTGAAGACAAAAATATACTCAGATACAATTTTGGAATTCAGGATAAATCTTACTCCAGGATGATTGAATGAGACAAAGGACAATTTCCCTCTTGCTTTTCCTAAACGACTGAATCAACAAGTGAGATTCATGTAGAGAATATAAAAGAAATTCTCACACACAATCTCCAGTCTTTAAATCCAGGAAAAAAGTAACGACTTTCCCCCATCTAATTCTGATTTATAGAATGGTATCATTAAAAAAGTTCTAATTACAAGAATTCTTAAAGTTTAATTTCAGTTGAGAATTCTAATTTCCAGTTAAAGAATTTGTAAAGTTTATATTAAAAAATAAAATGTAGCTTTCATTAGAAAAACACTGTATTCTAAGGTAAAGAGCAGAATGTGAATTAATAAGTTTAAAATCTTAAAACTAATAGACATTTAAATCAATACGTCATAGGTTTAGAGAAGGAACATAAGGCAAAGCATTTGCAAAGCATGCAACTGTCTTACTCTTGACGGTGGCTGTCCGGGTACAGTTGTAAAGGATAGCCAGCTCTCCAAACACCTTCCCAGGCCCCATAGTGCACAGCTTCACACCTTCTTTTGTCACTTCAACCTTCCCATCTAAAAAGGAGAAGGACAGGCAAGTTATCTTACTTCTCTTCATCCTTCATGGCATTTAGAGCATTTTCAAAATAGGAGATGAAAAATGTTAGACCTGCTACTCTAAATCCAACAGTTTACCAACCCAAACAAACATACCACCAAGGTACAAAGCAAGAAATACAATCAAATGTGGCACTAAGAGATTCCTCCTTTCTCTTAAAATAATTACTGACAAGATTGGAGATTAGACTCCAAGAAAAGATCAGGGAAGGATGGAGACAATAATTTATACATAAAAATTATTCCAGGTGTCAGTGGCTCACACCTGTAATCTGAGCTCCTCAGGAAGCTGAGATCTGAAGATCACAGTTCAAATCAAGACCCATCTTGCTTCAGACATGAAAGTCTGTGAGACTCTTATCCTTAATTAACCACCAAAAACCAGAAGTGGAACTGTGGTTCACAGTGATAGAGTGCTAGTCAAGAAGAGCACCCAGGTTCTAAGTTCAAGCCCCATGACTAGCAAAATAATAATAAATAAGTTCCATAGGTAGTTTTAATAAACCATGGTAACACTCATTTTAATATGATTTTAAATCTGAAAGAGAAACTGATTAAGTGGATATAATTTCTTTAACATAGTTCCTACCCATTTTGAGTAAGATAGCCACTATGAAGAGAGAAATTACTTTGGCCCTTGGACATTATTTAATTGCTGCCAATGGTTTTTGGTTTTTATTATTATTTACAAACATCTTATCTAACAGGCAAAACTGTTTATCTGCTTCCCAGCCCTGCAAAGTTGACTTGTAAAATTCTAACCATAAAGCTTAAGGGAAAAGAAAAAGGCAATAGGGATGTTTATGTTCCACAAAGGACTTGAAAAATAAAATGTTAAAGAAGCACCACACACTAGCTCTACGCTGCTGCCTGCAAGTAAGGAAAATACTAGGGGAATGGGAATAGTACATTTTAAGAAAATGTCATAGCTGCGTAGGCCCAAAATCCTATAACCTAACACAAGCAAGGGAGAAATTAAAAAAGCAACACAATGTATTCTAGACTTAATCCTTCCCTTCTATTATTACTAACACACAGTCTACAGAGGACTAGTCTAATGCTTGTCAAAAGAAATAGCTCCTGATTAAAAAAAGAAGAAGAAGAAGCAATGCTATGTCAGGCCTCATGAGTCAACTTCAAAACTGTTCCTGTCTGTACCTGTGTGATTCCTGTAGTAGTTGGCTTTTTTGAAGTGCTGACTGTAAACTCACTTTATGTGCGGGAATAAACAAGTTCCATAATTCAAATACCCTAAAGGTTTCTCATGCCTCCCTTCATTATTGCAGGATGAAAATGTCCTCTTTAAAGGAATTTCAACCACCAGTCAAGCAAACTCCTTGATCCATGCATGTAAGATGTTCTCTATAAGCCTATTCTCCGAGAAATTTCACCTGTCATTCAACTCATGATGACCAGTGTGGTTAAGAAAGTAATACATCATCTTAAGTCATATGGGGATTGGATTGGGTTCTCTGATTTGTTCCTTGCCAGCCTTCTGACCTTGGGCAAGTTCCTTAATTTCTCAATGTCTTTGATCCTTCATTAATAAAATCAATAAGTAATAGAACCTATCTCATTGAGTGCTTGTTAAAATTAAATGAATTAACATAAGTAAAATGATGAACATACTTCTCAGCATACAAATATTACAGAATAAATTTTATTTTTGTTGCTGTATTATTTTCATTATATTTCTCTTATATTTATTTATCAGTGATATGGAAAAATGAAGTATTTAGAACTATTTAGATTAACACAATATTGGATCATGTACAATAGCCCCGTGTATGAAAATGTAAGAAAACTGTGTATATATATGTATATATTTGCACACTATATGGGAATTTATTTTCAGATTCTCTATGGAGAGAGAATTAACTTTCCTTTGTAATACTTTAGTAGGTCCATAGAGCTCACTTCCCCTCTCTTTTTTTCACTCTTTTTTTACCTTTATGATTTATTTATCTTTTTAAATAGTTGTACACAGGCTTCAATTCCATGAGTCAGATTGTGAGTATGAACAAAGCATCATAATCAACATTACCCCTTCATCTTTCTCCATCTCATCCCATCCTCGTTACATAATGAACATTGAATATAATGACTGTTTTAGAACACTCTCCCTCCATTCATGTGCCCCTTCTTTGATTCCTCTCCCTCAATAAAACACATTACAATTCAATTTGTTAAACAGTTCATTAGCTGTTCAGAAGATACACAGCACTGGACTTGGGGCGAGAACTTTTGAGTCTGAATCACCATCTGACGCAAAGAAGAAAACAGAAGCTCAAGATACCATATGCAAAATGCTGGAGAATGTTGTCATCTTTAAGTTCTTCTATGTTAACCTATATCCAGCCAGTGTTTGATGTAATTTTGCTTCAGCCACTAGAATCTTGTGGGCAGGGCTCTCTTCAAAAACAGGCTGAGAGCAATGCATGATAACATTGTCTTGACCTAAAGCTCTAGTATTAATTATAAATAGAACTAAGAGCAAAATGAAAAAATGCTTAAAGAACCTAAAGATCCTTCATTAATAAATGATTTCAACAAGTTTCCTTCTCTGCCTCATTGAGTTTGACATTTTAAAGTTTTCAGTGGACAAAGACCCTTCAGCATAATACCACTTGTAAGACCCCTGCTGTACAGTTTGAGAGTTAGAACTTTTCAAACAATAACTCCTCAAACAACATTCAGTCTCAATAAAAAAAAAAACAATGTAGCTTAGTAGTTTCTTAGAGGAAATTGTAGAGCTATCATATCAGAAATAATTGACAAAATTCAGGTGTTTCCTCAATAGGAAGTTAATGTGTTCCACTACCACCCAGAACCACACTGTGGTCACTTCCTTCCTTGGAGAGGTATGTCCACATGACATCTATTTTAACCACAAATAACTCACCTTTTAACTGATATTTCCCATTCCTGTATAACCTTTTGAAGGCTTATACAAGAACATTGCAAGATTCTGGGGTTTGAAATCTGCATATAAATTCATTCCTAGTTCCAACTTACTGTCCTAATCTTATGCTTGCTTCATTTTCTCATGTCTAACTTATCTTTGTTGCGAAGGTGGGTATAAATTATGTATGTTAATTATTCATGTCTATATGAATAATTAGTGCCACTAACGCAATGCTGTATTCCATATTAATTAGAATAGCTGAAAGGTTGTTTTTTTTAAAAAAAAGAATTTAGATTATATTTGAGAAAAAGTTTGGATGTAAAACATTTTTGGAGCTTGAACACTAGAAGAACAATGTATTGAAGATCATCAAGGCAATTGAAGGATCAGATGTCATTTGGTAGATAAAAATAATCCAAAAGCACAATTTTTAATGAAGAGAAAGACCTATATGTGTGAAAGAGTGCTTAGGAATTGTTACTCTGAGCCATCATTGGATTGCTTCAGTTTTTTCATACTTGTTGTGTGGATGACAATGTATAATTCAGAGATTCGGGACAGATGGGGCTGACCTTAAAATTCAGCACACATGCAGCATGCAATAAGTGTTCTTATAAAACAAATTCAGAGCCGTGTGCCAGTGGCTCATGCCTGTAATCCTAGCTACTCAGGAGGCTGAGATCTGAGAATCAAGTTTCAAAGCCAGCCTGGGCAGGAAATCCGTGAGACTCTTATCTCCAATAAACCACTAGAAAACTGGAAGTGGTGCTCTGGCTCAAGTGGTAGAGCACTTGCCGTGAGCTGAAGAGCTGAGGGACAGCGCTCCAACACAAGCCCCATGACCAAAAAATAAAAATAAAAAAATAAAAATAAAATGCCCCCAATTTTCCAAGTGCCCATCAAGAAGAGTTATTGAGGTAACATTGATTGTTTATTTTTTAGGCTGTATAGTAGTCTTGGGGGTAAACTTGGAAGCAAGCCCACATTTGCAAAGTATGGAAAGTGAAGTTAATATTCTTTCAGTGCCCATTAGTTATCTGTTTAAGATTGTTATCCAGTATAAAGGACACAATCTGTCTGGATCTGAACTTCTGCACCTTAAAAGCTTATCATAGACCCAGTAGCCCTGAACCTATGAAATTGACTTCCTCTGAATTATTCAGTGGTCATGAAACTACACCCCTGGATTCACACTCCTTTATGGGCTGTCTTGACTTCTTTTCTTTTCTATAGTTTCCTCTGAGATTTGGTTTAAACTAATCAACCTAAATAGAAAGTATGTGGACCTTAATGTAGTTATTTTATGGTGATGACAGAGGGATGGGATAAAACAAACAAGGGAGTTAGGTAAGCTAAATATAGAACATCTCTTTGCCAGAGTCTGATAGCAAACTTGAATCAATCCATCTTAGAGATTTTCCTATGGTCACAGTATGTTTCTGATTTTAGCAATTATTTTCAATGCATTTGCTTCGTTGACCAATCATTTCTATTTCTTTAAACACATAGGAGAGCTATATCAGCATTTATTCATGGCTAGTTTAACACTTCAATTTGATTCTCACAGGTCAGATTCCAAATCAAAGATTCTTTAACAAGTAGCAGAAAGTATTTTTTTAAACATCTTAGCAAAGATAAGAATTTTACAATTATTACTTCCCTTGACTTAGCCTGGAAATTACAAAATGCTGTCATACCTATTTATTTGGCATATTAATGAAAAACTTTTTATTTGTTTATTTTATTTTAAATGGAACACTCTATTGGTCTTATTTTCACAATTCCATCTTGTCACCATCTCCATATCAGGAGGAATTGTTAAAAAATAAATCATTAAGCCAGTCACTGGTGGCTCATGCCTGTAATCCTAGTTACTTAGGAGGCTGAGATCTGAGGATTGTGGTTCAAAGCACAGACATGAAAGTCCATGACATACTTATCTCTAATTAACCACCATAAAACTGGAATTAATGCTATGGCTCAAAGGTAGAGTACTAGCCTTGGGCAACAAAGCTTAGGGACAGCACCCAGGCCCTGAATTCAAACCCCACAA